GTCCAATTAATTTCTTTCTATTTTTGGTAGAGACGGGGTCTCGCTCTTGCTCAGGCTGGTCTCGAACTCCTGAGCTCAAACGATCCGCCTGCCTCGGCCTCCCAGAGAGCTAGGATTACAGGCGTGAGCCACCACGCCCGGCCAAGTTACTTGTTTCTTTGAACAACCTTTTTATAAAACCTTGAATTACTTCTCTTTCTTTCATATTTTTTGCTTACCTGTTTTTAAGATGTGCCTCCAGATCACAACGTTGCATTACATCTTGGCACACTGAAGAAAATGGACATAAAACTAACAATTTGTCTAGAAGTTTATGAACTAGAATACTAGACTTCTTACACAACTTAAAATGAAGTCTTTTCCGGTCCAATGGACAGAAATCTTTCTCCTGTAAAAAGTTTCTGAGGCACTTGTAGCAGAATGTGTGTCCACAGGGGGTATCTAGTGGCTGCAACAGAGGCTGAAGGCAAATATGGCAGACTAGATCATCATCCACTTCATTCTGGTAATTGTATAAGTGGTTTTCTCTCGTCCAATGCTGCTGGCCACATTCAAAACACAGCGGGTTTAGGGAGGAGGAGGAGGTCTGTTCCACAGACACCATCTCATCACTTGTCGTTCCCATTTTGAATCAGTTGAAACAGTTTCTGTATCCTTATATGTTGGACTTTCACTTAAAGGTTGGTTTCCTTTAATAGACAGTGATGTATCTGACTAAATCCAAGGTCTGTTTTTTCTAGATAAGCAAAACAAACAAAGTAATTAATATCAATCAAGATAGGTCAAAAGTATCAATATAATATTATTAATTAACATGTTTTAGTAAAAACTTAAAGTTCAGATCAGGTAATAAATTAGTCATAAAAAATTAAATTAACTAATTTGCTAGTTGGCTAAAAAGAATGACTTACAGTGCCAACTTCTTGATGAAAAAAAGAACTTATGATTAAAAGCAAAGATACCATATATTATATAGTATGACATAAGAAACAATAGGTTTGTTTTACTGACTCCACATCTCTAAATACTTCACTTCTTTGTGGTAGTTTTAAAGACAATTAATCTAATTATGTGCTCATAGTAATACAATTTGAGGTATATTGTATAATGCATTTGCATTTGTCATCCCAGTCATGGTTCTTTGCTTCTGACTGATTTTATGCATTTATAGTACTATACCACAGATTGTGTCTTTGAAATGTAGTCTCAAGAATAATTCAGAGTCTGTTAATAAAAATGACCTTTGTTAAGCACTATAAGAAAAATGGATTTCAAAATACGTATGATTTGAATATTCTCTCTATATAACACAGATTACAAAAAGATACATCTGCATAACACATAAATAACATCTGTGCAAACTCCATAAAGTTTTATTCCATCACTATTTTATTCCATTTAAAGGCAAAAATCTGCTGTAATTCAATTAAACAGATAAGCAGTATTATAAATTCCACCTCGAATTATTCCGCACTTGCATTTGGTCTTGCTTACTCAGAGCTGCCATTTGAGTCAATGTGTTTGTCCTCTCCAACACAAGACTCTTACAACAGCCTCCTGCAGTGCTGTGCGAGGCCAGCAAGGAATGCTCCCCTCATTGAAGGGTTTCCGTCTACCCACTTCTGAAGCACCAGGAGTTAAAAAACCAATACCAAGAGCAGCAGCTCTCTGGATTCCTTCTTCTGCAAATACGTACAGAGCCTCTAGTATGTACCAGACGTTGAACACGGACAGAGAAGAGGTAGGGAGAGGACAGTTATGAAAACCCATTGTTAAAATTTCAATGTAATAAGTAGTCCAAGAAAGTTATGCACAGGATGTTATGTGAATATGGAGAAAGATGAAGAGAACCGGCAATTAATTCAGCTTGGCTTTGTGGTTGGAAATACTTTCAAAAGGGGAAAAAACATGGACTGCTGCGCTGTGACAGGAAGCATTAGGCAGAGAGAAAAAATGGACAAGAGCATCTCAGGCAAGAGAAGAGCATCAGCTAAGTCACAGGAACTTGAAGGTACACAGCAAATTCAGGGAATATGAAGCAGGTAAAACATCTGGAGCACAGAAAGCACACTTAGGCAGGGGGATTCTAGAACTTAGTGTACTTGCCACAAGAATGGTTAAGAGTAAGATACCATGTTGAGGCTACTAGCATTTGTATTTCAATAACAAAATTCTCCTTCAATCACCTATATATTTGCTAGCTTATTTATTTGGAGTATTTATTAGAAAACATCATTAGTGTTTTAACAGATTTAACAAGCACTGCCCTGAAATAGAAAGGGGTGGGATAAAATTCAGGTGAGACAGCTGGCCTCAGATTAACTCATGTTTTTTAAACTACCTAATATTATAAAATAACAATAATAGCAGCCTGTATTCTAAACTCCTATCAGTACCAACATCAAGAGAGAAAACACTTCTTGTTATTTTATAACTCATGGAACTTGCTCTTTACACTTTGAGCATCATAACTTTTTAAATGTCAGTGCAAGGTTTGTGAGAGTAGGGAAAGAAACACCATGTATCTCAGGCAGACTGGTTCAAGCTAGGTATTTTAACACAGAATTTCCACAGATGCTTGTTTCTACTCAGCAGGAAAATTCACAAATCTTTTGCTCTTTTTGTTTGTGATAGCATTTTAATTTTTCTTTTGCTCAAGAAAATATACTGCAATTCTGGCCTCCCACATAATGACTAAGAAAGCTTTTATCTTAAGACTTATATTTTAGCTATTTTCTAAATCTCTAAATAACTTTAATTCTTTGATTATTTTCATTTATCACATCTTTTCATGAGGAAAATGAACATGTTCCCATTTAAAATGGCAAATAACCATTGCATTAGCTCCACTCCCCCAAAATACCTCCGTATTACCATAAAACAAACATTAACTGAAAATTATCATGGATGGATCACTAACATGTGCTTATAAATATTGATTGAAGAACTGTGAGGCCATACAGCATAAATAGTTAAGAGCACAGATCCTGGACCTGGTGTGGGAGGTCAAATCCTTGCTTGGTCACTTATAAAGCCTTGTTACCTTACCAATTCCTTTGTGTCTGTTTCCTTCTCAAATGGAAAACGGGGGTAGTAAGAGTGCCTATCTCAAAGGGTCAAAATAAAGAATAAATAAGTATGGATAGACAGATAGAACTTAAAACCGTACCTGGCAAATCACAGGTGCAATCTAAGTGTTAGCTATTATTAAAGACAAAGAAACCAAAGCTCAGATAGATTTTATGATCCGCCCAAAGCCATATAATGTGTAATTACTTAGTAAGAGAAAAGGAAGATAAACCCAGTTTTTTCTGGCTTCAAAATAACGCAGTAGTAAATTAAGTGATTACAGGAAAGAGCAAAGGTGTTTCATAAAAGCTTCAGAGTGTGAGCTTTGTAAAGGAGAAAGGCAGCCTGACTCCACTTCTCTGCTCCCTAATCCCACCCCTCTACTCCCAGCCCAGGCAGATCTGTTTCTTTCGGCCTTGTGTGCAAGTCTGCCGTACCGCCTCACGCCACTTCTCACGCTGGGTCCCTTGGCAAGTTTAGGCGATCAGAACTACATCTATGTATAACATATGTTCATGTTTATACATAATTTTGATTTCAGATATTATCTGTAATACCTTCGAGCACAGTTTGAAATATTAAAATACAACTTTTTAAGTAAATATCTCAAACATTTCCCAAAATATAAAATGTCGCATAATGTGTATCTTTATAAACTGCACAATCTCTGTAACAATATTCCAGGAATAGTAAAGAGATGGAAGCTATTAAATAGGCCAAGATTATTACAACACATTTCTAATAGTATCTTGAAAAATAGCCAATGCAATGGGAAGGGAGTTATAAGACACTGTTTACCATCTAATTCCAGTTATAATTAACATGATTGCTCTTCCTGGCTTATGGGATAAGAATATCCTGGTACATCACAAAGACTCCCAGAACTATGGGTTTTCACTGTTATTCTGCATACTCCAAAACTGTATATTATTCAGATAATTTCTCTTGATGTTACTTTTGACTCACATTTAAAGGGTCCTCACTGGCCCTAACCTAAAAGATCCGGCCCAAGGAAAAAGATAATGAGCCACGGTTACCACCAAAGTGCAGTGAGACAGGAAACATCTGTGATTCTTTTGACGCAACGATGCCGAGGGTCTAAGAATACCCTCGCCTGTCATTTCCTCCTCGTCCACTCTTCCTCACTCCTCAGGTCAAACTGTCTCCTCTGTCAAGTCACATGGCCTCCTCCTACTTTTGGGTGTGCCTCCCTTCCCTTCTGCTCCTACTGCTCTTCACACAAACCTTCATTTCAGCAATTACTATATTGCATGTTTGCTTACCTGTCTCCACTCCTCTTTGAGGGTAAAGACAGTATCTTTTTCATCTTTTGTATTCTCACGTATTAGGACACACTATGCACTTAAGAAAAAAAAAAGTTCTCAGGTTCATACATAAGCCTGAAACGTAAAAGAATCCTGGAATGTGTCACTATACAAATATATATAAGAAAATCTTGTGTGTTTATTTGTAGCACTGCAAAGCAATCAACACATGACACAGCCCTGTGACTTATAAATGACAAGGAATAAGGTTATCACTCCCTTTAATCTTCAAAAGGCTGAGGAAAAAAGTTTCCTTATTTGATGATGTCAACACAAGAAAATTTTCTTATTGTATATGTCACACATATCAGTTTTGATAAATGCCTTTGTATGAAGCAGTGGTTGTCAAACTTTTTTGACTTCAGAATCCCTTTATCCACTCTGGACAAGTTCGGCAGTTTCTTAAAAAATCAACATCCAACTATCATATGACCCAGCAACTGCACTCCTGGGCATTTACCCCAGAGAAGTAAAAACTTATGTTCACATAAAAACCTGTGCGTGAATGTTTACAGCAACCTTTAACAGCCAGAAACTAGAAACAACCCAGATGTCCTTGAACAGGTGAATGGTTAAACAAACTGTGGTACATTCATACCACAAAATACTACTCAGCAATAAAAAGGAATGAACTGGCCGGGCGAGGTGGCTCACACCTGTAATCCTAGCACTTTGGAAGGTGAAGGTGGGAGAATTTGCTTGAGGTCAGGAGTTCAATTCAAGACCAGCCTGAGCAAGAGGGAGATCCCCTCTCTACTAAAAGTAGAAAAATCAGCTGGGTGTCGTGGCACGCACCTGTAGTCCCAGCTACTTGGGAGGCGAGGCTGAGGCAGGAGGATTGCTTGAGCTCAGGAGTTTGAGGTTACAGTGAGGTACAATGGTGACACTGCACTCTACCCAGGTCAGAAAAAAAAGGAATGAATGAATTACTGATACACACAACAATTTCAACGAATCTCCAGAAAATTTTGTGAGCGAAAAAAGCCAATCCTAAAAGGTTGCATACTGTTTTGATTCATTTATATAACATTCTTAAAATGACAAAATTGTAGAAATGGATTAGTGGTTGCCAAGGGTCTAGGAAGGGTTGGGGATGGATAAAAGGGTGACATGAGGGGTGCTTGTGGTAATGTTCTATACTTTGACTGTATCATTGTCAATATCCTGGTCACGTGATACTGCTCTATAGTTGAGGTGCTACGCAAGGCCAAGTTCAAGTTCCCTGGCCACCAGAAGATCCACATCTCAAAGTGGGGCTTTACCAAGTTTAATGCGGATGAATTTCAAGACATGAGGGCTGAGAAGTGGCTCATCTCAGATGGCTGTGGGATAAAATACATCC